GAACATGAATTTTACTTTTCCATATATTGGGAATTTCATCATCCCAACTGACTCATAATTTTCAGAGGGGTAGGTCAACCACCAACCAGGTATTAGTCATATTAATATCGGGATGGGATTAATAAACATAATGTATCATTTTGTAATTTGATTAGATAATCCCCAGAAACGTTTGGATTTTCGAAGTAATAAGATTATATATAGGGTTGAAGGGTTGAAGACTAAGATTAATCTGATCTGTTTGAACATTTATCACTTGATATATTTTAATATGCTAAAACAGATTATCAGATTGTTCTGAATTATGTCTGGTTTATTAAGTTTATCTAACATGGGGGGGTGAAGGTTCAACAGAATCCATCTACGGTCCCCGAAAGAATCTTCAGTTTTGGACCATACCGTGCCCAAGGGGCCATCTGGTGGATAAAATATCAGCTACTCCCATTCAATGGGGCAGATTTTGGAGGCCATGAAGAGTAACTACCATTTGGTGAATCTTCAACATCTTTCAACCGCCAAACGGGGCATAGGGGTTTGTCTGAAAAGATGGTGGCCCATTTCATCCACTGGTTCATCATCTTTTTTCTGTTAAATGTTTTTTTAAGCAATACCCTCTGGTTATTTAACATAGCCATGGAAAATGGCCCATGTATAGATGGTTTACCTACTAAAAATGGTGATTTTCCATGGCTATGTTAAATAACCAGATGGTATATTACACTTTCAGACGGGCCCAAATATGAACAAAACTGGTTTTACTATGTTTTACTTGCCACCAAAAACAGGTTGAGACTACCACTTGGATCATTTTGGTACTGAAATCATGGGGCCATTTTTCTGGGTTTCAAGATGTGGCAAGCCATGTTTCCTGGTTTATAGACCAAGCTGTGGATATATATATATATATAACAGCCCCTGTGAAACTATTGATAACTATAGTAACTGTTGATAAACCAACAGATGCCTATCGTTTGGGCAGTCCTTGCTGTTGTGAACAGTTTCAGTACGCCCGTTCTCTGCAAAATACAATGGTAAGTTCTTTGGAATTTTCACCAGCCAACTGGCTTTAAATCTTCAGTTTGTTAAATATGTTCTAAAATAATAAGAACAAATAAGATAACCTGGAAATCAATCATAGCTTGCTGGAAAATCCACCATTTAGTTCCATGATGTTCCTTTAAATGCCCATTTAGTTTAGGAAATTCCCAGCTAGTCATGTTTGATTACCGGATAATACATCCATGAATATCCCATCATTATCCCACTCTTATCCCTATTAACCATATAAACCGATATTGTTCATCCTAATATTATCCCTACGGGTATATCCCCTTGTCATCCCATGAATATGCCATGAAAACTATAGATATACCCACCATAAACCATAGATAACCACAGTTAATTAACCACAATTAACCACAGTTAATTAACCATAGTTAACCATAGTTAATTAGCCACAATTAACCACAGTTAACCATAGTTAATTAGCCACAATTAACCACAGTTAACCATAGTTAACAATTGAGGGATATGTGGGAGTTTTGGATTCACATTGAAGTGCCGATAACGAATGACTTGGGGATAGCTCAGTTGACTCAGAACTTCGTGAACCGTGGTTCACCACGGTTCACCATGGTTCTTGAGTAATATAGCTATAGTAATCTATAGTTAGCTATATTTTTCTATAGTTATCTATACTATAGTTTACTGTAGTTATCTATAGTTGATGGTTTTTTTGCAACCAACAAACAGCACCCCAGCAACAACTATCACTACAGGGGCCGGGCCTTGTAGACCCACATAACTCCAACTGATTCCAGGTCCTCCAGTGGAGCCGATTGACCTGACGGCCAGCGATTATGAGCCCATGATGGAGGAGGGTTGCTGAGACCTGACATCCCATTTTTCGTAGTGTAACTTGTAGCAACATAACATGACATTTTTTCATGGTGATTTTGGATTTAAACATTTGCCAACCACAGATATATATATATATTCAACTTGTTCAAAATCAGCATGCAAGGTATCCATGTTCCACTATTTACAGCCCAAAGAAAGACCAATTGACCAAGTCATTTTATGCTTGAAACACCCACTTCTGTCACCAGTGACGATATCATCCCGAGACACCTCGCACTGCAGGATTGGCATGCACCTACAGAAATCCAGGTGCGCCTGAAGCTTTTTTGTGGGAGCTGAAAAATGGATGTTTGGCCCTTCTTCGGCCACGGCTGCGAGATGAGGATGTCGCGGATTAGATCTGGAAAAGCCACCATTTGTGAATCATTTTCCTATAGGGAAATGATGGGTTTTCCACATCTATGTTAGTTTGCAATAGGGGAACCTGTCAACATTTTGGCAGAGCTTAGCCCTCATAAATGGTGTTCCACTACCAGAGGGTATCAGGTTGCGTCCCCCCATGTTTCCACGTTCTACTGATTCTACTGGTAGCAAATGTTGATTTTCCAACTGTTGTTCAAGTAAATTTGACTAGTGATGCTGTTCACGACTCACGTCCCTGTTTTTTCTGGTTCTTTCTTGATAACCTCCCAATGTTTTGGACATCTCGGAGGGTGGTCTGCTGCGATTTCTGGCCGGTGATATTTTGCCAGGCCCTGGCCTTCTGTCCTTTGCCCTTTGATGAATACGCAGAGCCCATGAGGGAGATCCTTCCGGAGCCGGTGCGGGGTGACAGCGTTGGTAAGCGGAGTTGCTGGTTAGAACATGTTAGAACCCTGTTATGAATGAACAGTAAGCCCATATCTGGGCCACATACACTCTGGTTATTTAACATAGCCATGGTATAGGTGGCCCATAGAAATGTCGATGATTTTCCCAGCTAGAAACCTCCATATTTATGAGGGATTTTCCATGGCTATGTCTGTTAGTCATAACCAGATGGTACCATCTGCTACTTTCAGAACCAGTCAATGAAAACTTTGGTTGTCCAAGAATAGGCTATGCCGCTATGCCCCAAATCCGCTGCGTTGCCCTTGCCGTTTCTCTATTGGAAAGGCCATCTGGTTGGTGGTTTGGAACATGAAATTTATTGTTCCATCTATTGGGAATGTCATCATCCCAACTGACTAATATTTTTCAGAGGGGTTGAAACCACCAACCAGTCATGATCAGAGGTAGAACCCCTGGTTTTTACCGTCCCATGTCGACTGCCCAGGCCATTCCCACGGAGCCGCCCTTGCCTCCTCCCAGCTTGGTGCAGAGCATCGTGGCACCTGGGGACCGTCCCGAGGTCGTCCTGAAGGGGGCCTGGTACCCCGAAAGACCTGGGGAAAATGATGGGTTTTAGCCACGGTTGACCTCAGAAATTAACATTTAGATAGGCAGATAGGCATATAAATCTCATTGGCATAATCATTGGGCTCATAGATTTTATGTGGTTGATTTCAATTGATCATTTTCTATAATTAACTATATAATATTATATGTGTGTGTGTTTGTTTACTGCCAGAACATGACCAAATAGAATCTATGACGACTCACAAAGAGAAAGGCTACTTGAAAGTTTTTTCCGCTCGCTGAACAGTTACTCTAATATGGCCTTTTACACCAGCTACTAAAACCTGTAAACGCCTGTAAAATTCTCAGTGGAACACATGATTTTCTATGATACTCCCATAAACCATATTCACATGAAGGGTTTTTCTTTAATGTCAACCCTGGATTAATAAACCCCTAGGCTGTTTAATTGGGAGGGTACCATTTAAGTATTAGATTATGACTATTGGAGGAGTACCCCCCTAATTAATAAACCATGGTTTTTTAATCCGGGTTGACATTACCATTGTTCCACTGTTACTAGATGATCCAATGATCCGAGGGTGGACACTTCCCCTTGCCAAGCCTTGCTATCCAGCATCGAGCTTTGCTTTTCAGGAATCCTGCTACCCTCCAAACATCTCTAACTTGGACATTGGTATTCTGGTCGGTTGTTTGGAACATTTTATTTTTCCATCTATTGGGAATTTCATCATCCCAACTGACGAACTCATATTTTCCAGAGGGGCAGGTCGACCACCAACCAGTGTTTGGCGCTTCATCCAACTTAGCAGATTCTACCAGAAATCAAAAGTTGCGATTGCAGGGGAAATCTCCAAGCTAAATGGAGGTTCATAGCTGGGCAAAATCATGGAAGTGGGGGAATTGTCCAACAAGCCGCGGTTGATAAATGGAGGGTAAGCCTGGCTATTTGGAGGTTTCTTGAAATGGGGGTACCCCTGTTCATCATCCATTTTATGTTCGGATTTTCCATGAAATAAACCATCCAGCGAGCTTGGGCTATCCCCATGGCTATGGAAACCCCTATTTCCATGTTATTTCCACGGGGTGGATAATGGGATCATAATGGTTAAATGATGATAAATCAATAGGACAATAATGGGATAATAATGGTTCAATAATATTGGTTAAACAATGGATACCATCTGGTTATTTAACATAGCCATGGAAAATGGCCCATTGAAATAGATGATTTCCCCATCTAGAAACCTCCATTTATAGATGATTTTCCATGGCTATGTTAAATAACCAGATGGTAACCATTGCGAGTGGGCTTATAATCCACTGGCACCGCCGCCCAACCTTGGCCCGATGGTTTATGAGCTCACGAGATCACAGTCGAACCTAAAACAAAGACTCCCCCCATCGTAGAAAACCATGTTATATATATATATATCTTTCCATTGATGCCATAGAAAATCCAAGTCCATCATTTTCAGTTGCAAGCAATCCCGTTTTTGGATAGCCTATCATTTGATCCATAGATTTCTGGCTGCCCTGAAACAGAATGAGGATAATAAACTGTCTAAAATTGTCCAACGCCCCAAGAGGATGTCAGCCTTTTGCTCAGGTTTAGAAAAAAAGTGCGGGGCAAATGTCACTTGCACGCCATGGGGTCAACCTCCCTGGCCCTACTGATCCAAATACCTGCAGAGCCTAAGATTTTGCCACAAAACTCATCAAAACCCTAGATTCCCAAGAGGGAAACACTTCCCAACATCACATCATCGAACCCGTCCTGTGGCCTTGAAGCAGAGGCCAATGGGGGCGATTTTGCCATTTTTTCCGGGTGAAAATGAGTTTGGTACCTGAAAATTGGTTTGGAAAGTCCGTAAATCTGTAGTTTCATCATCCTTTTCATCATTTTCCCTAAGAAATCGGACACAAGGTTAAATGTTTGTAGGTGAGCGAAGCGGCATGGCCACAGTGATTTTTGAGACGGATGATGACAAGCCCACATGAGTTTTCTACCTTATGAAGAGTCCCTTGTTTCAATGAAAAAACCTGAAGACTCTGATGGAATAGAGTAGATCTTGTTCATTTTTGGGTCCATTTTTGGGTGCACCCTAAACTTTCTATTCTCATCTGGGGATGGTACATATGTAAACGGAGGAATCTGCTGGAAGCATCCTTTATGTATTACATTGTATGACAATATCCATCCGTTTGAGGTCGGAGAAACTTTCTGGTCACCTACATTTGGATGAAACTACGACTGTATAGGTGGTGCCTCACATATATTTGGCCATATAAGTTGTTGAATATGACACTGGCTTGACTGTTAGGTCTGAGGGACACCAACATGATGTAGCTATAGAAACTACTATAGATAGATGATTCTAGATGGGTTTATAAATCACCCACATCACTGGGGATGAAATTAAATAGAAAACATATATAGATATTAGATGATGTTAGATGGGTTTATGATGGTGTATGTAATTGTGCAACTAGGTTCTAGATATGTATATATATTTATACACATCATTTTACTATATATGTATGTTAGTTAGATAATATCACTATATATATATATATACATATACATATTATGTGTATATGTATAGTGTTATATATATATAATATTACCCGCAAACCCTGTGTCTCGCCGTCGCCAACATCGTCATCTGTCCCTTTCGAAATTCGCTTCTTGTGCAGACGAAACGCGATTTTTTCAATTTTTAAGTTGAAAAATGTGCGTTTCAACCTGCGGCCACCAATGACTTTGAGCACGTCCATTTTGCGTGGCAGGCGCAGTGTTTTGTGAAGGTGAAAAAATGCCATGTGCATTTTCGCTGGCAGGCGCGCGGAATTTCGCATTTTTTGCTGTGTGACAAGTGTTTTTTTTCGCTGTTTTGTCGTTTTCCTTGGACGACATGTTCATTTTGCGTGGCAGGCGCAGTGATTTGTGATGGTTGGAAAAAGAGCATTGTCATTTTAGCACGCGAGCTATTTTTGCGTGCTTGGAATGATCTTGTTTCGTTTGTCTTTGGGAAGTGGTTGGGTGGGGTGGGGTGGGGGGGGCATATTAACGTTCTTAACGTGCCGTTCAGGTAAGTCTTATCAAGAGTCGATGGTCGCTTTGTTTCTTTGTTGTACTACGCCCTTGACTTTCTTATGTTGAATGTTAACGCGCTGATGATGTTACCCTCTTGACTCTTGACTATCTTTTGTTGATGTTAACACATTAATGATGCTGCTGCTACACTCTTGACTTTCTTATGTTGATGTTAACACGTTGATGATGCTACATTCGTGTCTTTCTTATGTTGATGTTAACACGTTAATGACTCTATGCTCTGAGCTTTCTTATGTTGATGTTAACACATTGATGATGCTGTGCTCTTGTTTCTTATGTTGATGTTAACACGTTGATGATGCTACACTCTTGACTTTCTTTTGTTGACATTAACACAATAATAATGCTACGCTGTTGCTCATTGTGTTTGTCATTAATTTGACGCGTGTCTTCGAACATGAGGTGTGCTACTACGCTTGCTCCGACCAAACTACGCTTGTCTTCCAATCATACATGGCCCCTTGGATCAGAACTCCATATCGCCAACCGATTTTGTTCTTGTTGTTGTTGTTGTTGTTGTTGTTGTCGTTGTTGTTGTTGTTGTTGCTAGAGTAGCACCTGGCCCAGCATGCTCTGGAAAAGGTATTTGTTCCAAACCATGTTAAACCAAGCCTTGCCAAGGATGCAGCAAACGCGGATGCAGCAAACGCGGGCGAACCTGGCGGCTACTCCGTCTTCTGGAAGAACTGCAACCGCAATGCCGGTGGCTATCTGCAGTCGAAGCTTGACTGCACTCTGAAGGCTGCGTATTTCGGATCACGCAGGTAAGTGGAAAATAAAAAGCGGATTGAAGTTGATGTAAACTTGGCCGGAAAAAGGCCCACCGGATACAACTCGGGCTGGCTTGGGTCGTGAGGCTGGGTGGGCAGCCTGGCCTCTACCACAGACTGTTGTCAAGGCGGGAGCCCATTAATTTCTGGAAGGTGCACTATACCGTTTTCTCGACTACACAATGCGTGTTTCTGCAGGCCATTGGTCTGCGTGGCCATTGGTGTTCCTCTGGCTTTTTTGTTGCTTTTGTTGCTCCTGTGGCTCTTCCATGCGGCTACCCGTCAGTGTTGACCATATGGAGGGTTCATTCGGACATCAGAAAACCCGTTCCGATTTTTGTTTATGACAAAAATCGCTTGAAACTTGTGAGCAACAGGCACTGTGAAATGATTTTGGGATCTTCGAATTTGATCAACAAATGTGCGGACATTGTAGTTCTTGTGGCTTGGTTGGAACCCCAGTGATTTGAAAACTTGAACATGTTGGTGTGGCCGTATGAGCCTCAGTCGACTGAGGTTTCTAGAGGGTGTTTGCTGTGAACGGGCCTTCACAACCCAACATCAGGATTGGGGATCCTCCTTGCCCTTTTCAAAGCTTTGGTTGAGGGAGCATTCCCAAAAGTAGGACCGTGCATACCACAGTTACTGGTATTTAAGCCGTTGAACCACCCAATGACTGCCAATGCCTTACCGGGTGCTTCAATAATTGCCAAGTGCAATGTGATGTGAATTGCTGTGAAGTAAAAGTTTTTTTAATAACAACTATATTGTAACCATTTCTTTGCTGATTTGTTTTTTGAGCGATATTTTGCATTCTTATGAGTTACGGACAAAGATACTGTATGAACAATTTAGTATTTGGTAGCCTTGGAGTGTTTTCATGGTGATGATCATCGAAGTTTTGCTCATAGTCACCAAGCCTTCAAATATCACAACAGGTCAGCGACCACCACCACCACCACCACCACCACCACCACCACCACCACCACCACTACTCACGATTATAACCATGGATTCCCATCTGTCCAGGCCCCAGCTACTCGGAACATCACGGAGTTTCATCAAAAGCTGGGGGAGCGTGCCTTGGTGAAAGATTTTGGGGTATCCGGATGCTCAGGAGGCACAAGGTGCAGAAGAGCGAACAAGTGCTCCCTACTTCATCTTCCTCTGCCTAGCACATTCCCTTCGTCGTGCCTTTCACCCCACATTCCTGCACAACTCCTTGAACTTTTCCAGCCCTCCGCCGGCTGCCCATCCCAAGCCTGACTGTTGTTTTTCGAAGTCAGGAAGTCTTGCCAGGCTGGGCACTAATGGATGTGTTTCCCAATCACTGGTATCCATTAAGCAAACCCCAATAAACCAACAGCAGCCATTAACAAAGGCCCCACCACGCCATCATGGCAACCTGCCCGGCCTCGATGCGTTCGATTGCAATCTGATCCTTCCTCTCAATCTGACCCATTGCTCTTGGCTGTGGGGGAAGGGAAGGGAAGGGATGGCAAAACGGATAGCCATACTGCAAGAACTTGGATACAGAGTTGCGCTTATCTTCATGGCTTGCAAATCTAAACATCTGCAAACTTCTGACTGGAAGAAACTCCGACAACAATTTCATGGTGGTGATTGAAGACCATGTCACTGAAAAAACAATTCAAAAACAAGAGGTTTCTCGGCACGGCAAGGTCGCATGGCGCTGGTCTTGGCTTCCTTGTGTTGATGTTAGCACATTGATTAGGTTACGCTCTTGACTTTCTTTTGATGATGTTAACACATTGATGATGTTACGCTCTTGACTTTCTTATGTTGATGTTAACATGTTAATGATGCTACACTCTTGCCTTTCTTATGTTGATGTTAACACAATAATGACTACACTCTTGGCTTTCTTATGTTGGTGTTAATACGTTGGTGATGCTGTGCTCTTGTTTCTTATGTTGATGTTAACATGTTGATGAGGCTACACTCTTGACTTTCTAACGTTGATATTAACACAATAACGATGCTACGCTCTTGGCTTTCTTTTGTTGATATTCACACGTTGATGATGCTGTGTTCTGGTTTATGTGTTGATGTTAACACGTTAATGATGCTACACTCTTGGCTTTCTTAGGTTGATGTTAACACAATAATGACTCTACACTCTTGGCCTTCTTTTGTTGATGTTCACACGTTGATGATGCTGTGCTCTTGTTTCTAATGTTGATGTTAACACGTTGATGATGCTACACTCTTGACTTTCTTATGTTGATATTAGCACAATAACGATGCTACGCTCTTGGCTTTCTTATGTTGATATTCACACGTTGTTCATGCTACGCTCTTGGCTTTTTTGTTGATGTTAACACATTGATGATGTTACGCTCTTGACTTTCTTATGTTGATGTTAACACGTTGATGATGTTACCCTCTTGACTTTCTTATGTTAATGTTACCACGTCAATGATGCTACGGTCTTGACTTTCTTTTGTTGACGCCTTCAAAGTCGCACGACTGGACTGGCTCCCGTGAAACAATGCAAAAATTGGCTGCACGTGTTCCTGCTCACAAAGTTTTTGGGATTTCTTCAAAGGGACGAATTTGAAAAATCAATGAAAACCCGCAGTTTTTAGCTGTTTCAGGCAACGGCGAGACATAGGGTTTGCACGTTATATTTATATATGGCAACTATTACACTACATATATAATCATACATATATGTATATATATACCAATATATATATATACCAATATATATATATATATATATGTATATATATATATTTTTATTGAATTGATAAATCCACCAACCCATGGCCAGGGGCATCACCTTTGATCATCCTGCGAGATGACGGGAGGCTACAAGGAGCCGTTGGCGCCGCTGGGTTGCAGATGGGACACATCGTGGTTTTGAGGTCGTTTTTTTGGGGTTTGAAGATGGAAAATACGATAATATACAAGGAAAATTGCCATGTTCATATGCATCGTAATCCAAATACTTGGGTTTTCTCACAGATTCACAAGCATTGCCTGAAACATAAACCAGTTACAACTAGAGTTTTTACCCAAGATGCCCCCGCCAACAAACCCGTGTTTGTCAAGATGGTTTTCAACCGTAGTTTTGCTCCTAAACAACTAAGTGGCGAGATTGTTCAACAAACATCGTCACTTGGTGTTGCCAGAGATGTTTTCAGGCGTCTCTATTCACAAAATTGGTGAGAGGTTATTCTAGGTTTTGGGGTAGTGCGAGGGCACTGGATTTTTGCGAAGAAATCTGACATAAGCCCTCTGCGGCATGAACACGTATCTGCAGAAGTTTGGGCACGAAGAGACCCATTTGGGATCGAAACTAGTCGCATAGCCCATAGTGACAGAGTCTACGGCTTGAGAGTTGCCAAAAGAGCAGGGACTTTGATCATGATTCTTATTGGTGACCCCCCGGTTCCTTCACATATAGAAAATCACAACTTTTGGCGGGTAGATATGGATAAAAATATAAAAGTTATAGACCACTTTCCATAGGAAATTGCTAAATTCTGGCTATTTGAACGTAACCATCATAAATCAGCTATAAATTAGCTATAAATCCCATGAGTTTTCCCCATGTTCCTTGGTGAAAATCCGCCATGACCACATGGTTTTCCCAGTTAAACACCACCATTCTCCCACAGTCTTCCGATGATTTTCCCATGGTTTTTCGTGTTCCCATGGTTTTCCCATGGTTTTCCTATGGTTTTCTGGTCCATCTAAGGCCACCCCCTGTGCTGAAACGCTCCATGTTCGCACCTCATGGCGCCCAGCTGCGGCCCCAGTGCGCCAATTGTGCTGGCATATTTACCTACATGACTGGGTGATTTGTTCGGGCAATTGTTGGTAGATATTCCATACATTGGACATATGGGAATACTATAGGTTTTTAAACAAATAAATATATAGTTTTATACATACTGATCTTGATATATTTAGTAGACTAAGTCATATAATTAATATATAACTAAGTCATATATTGTTTATTATTGATGGGTTATTTTTTAGATATGGTTTCAATAATAAACCATATATTGCCGCCGTATCCTGCCAATTTCATAGATGGGTTTTAATAACTTGAATAAATTATACATATACTGATTTTGATATAGTGTGTATATACTTAGTATATTCTTAGCATCACTAGTTTATACTTAGTACTTGTATCCTGGATAGTTCATGGGTTTTCCAAAATGGGGATCCCCAAGTCACCATGGTCTTCAATACTAGGTCATGGCCTCATGATTTGGATGATTAGGAGGTACTCCCTTTTCTATATAGCAAATCTCCAAGTATATAAGTGTTTCAACATATATGAACGATATAATTATATCGTATAATTGCTTAATTAATCCCATTAATTAAGGTCATCAAGGATTAACACAAGTGATTGACACGTCTTTGTGGGATAGATATATATATATATATAATGGGATTTTAATATGATTGATGGAATTTATGGAATGATTATGGGATATATCCTCTCATGTCATCAAACGTGGCTGGAAAATGACAGCGGAGGGTAGAACTCGTTAAAGGTGGCAAAAACTTTGAGATTCTGTGAATTGAAGTAGAAAAACCTGCAAAAACCGAGAAATTCGAGCAGTGATACGGTGGATGGGCAAGCAAGATCCTGGTTGCTAACTCGCGGTAAGTATGAAACAACATGTAGAAAAAAAGGGGACTAGAATGGGATAAACCATCTCTGTCAGCTCAAGATTTCTTCCATCCACAGTAGGATAGTTCTGGTTCTTGGGATTTCAGCAACAAAATGGGGATGAAATTGATGATATCTCCGAGAATCATGGGGATAAAATCAACGCATTTCAGCTCTCGTATGGCTTGGTTTTTGGCCTGCCTCGCGCTTCTTTCCTTCTTTATTTTGCTTTGGCCTGGCACTCTTTGTTTCGCCTGTTGACTGAGCCTTCCTCGCACGGAGTGCAGGACCATCAGCTGGGCGTGTTTTTCACCTTGGCCCTGCCATTTTTTTCACCAGATGACATTGACCATCAGCCTATTTTTCCATGCTGGGGATATTATAGATGTCTAAAACTACTGATCAACGAATATGGGAAAAAACTTATCCATTGATCTGGTTGGTGGTTTCAAACATTCTTGTTCGAAAAAAATGAAACATATTCATATATTATAACATATTATTATTTGGATGCGTGATCCTACCACCAATAAGGTATGAAAGGACGGTTATGTTTCAACCAAAGTTTGACTTTTGTCTTTGTTTATTCACAGCAAACCATGTTTTATTTTTGGGTGTGCACAGATCGTGCAAACATGAATGACTTGTGGGTCCGACAGTAAATGGGAAGTAGGTGACAAATCTGGGAATACAGACATGCTTGGTATTATAATGTTTTGTGCCGGCGTAATGGAGGAGTATTTGATCGCTTGCTAACGATAAACCAATTCTTCTCCGGAAAGTTAGGGATTTGACGTGCAGGTACGAGCAGGAAGATGAATGGAACGAGTTTTTGGAGCGCACCGACACTTCCAAGGTGCTCCCGATGGGTCTGAATTCGATATGCCCCCAATCGATGGCCATTGTTAATTATTGTAGGAAAAAAATGAACAAATGACAAACCATCAGGGGTATACCCTGTTTGGGAGGGCACTGCTGTGAGTTGTAACTGGTTCAGCATCGCATTTTTAAGTGTGAGTCTGGTATTGTGGGCTTGGAAAGACTCCACAAACCGGAGGAAGATGCAAGTACAATTCAGAGGCCCGTGGCTTGTGGAACGCACGTTCCAAGTGTGGCAATGTTTCCTGAGGAAATTGCTACGTACAGTAATTACTGTTTTGGAGAGCATGGCCATCCTACATTGTGGCCCCCGGAATTATAAGTTGTTTTACAAACATATCAAAGATATGGAAATTTATCTAGCTGTAGTTGCAAGTTATTCAATGTTAGTCACCTAAAATTTATACCATAACCCCACTATCCTGGCTGTATTTACCGCGGAACATGAGGACCCCTGACATCCAGTTTTGAACTAGTTCCACCTTAATAGTTTAAATTGAACATATTCATGAGTCTCCCATAATTAATATTTGACGGTCAAAACATGTCAAAACCATCATGATTTCTGTGAGATTATTCCTGTAAGCCAATCCATATTGAGTCTTATACCACCGGTACTTGAAAGATAAACATCGAAAATAGGGTGTCCATTTGGGCACTATAGAATTTTCGAATTTGCACAAGAGCAAAAACCCCAAAATCCAGTGGATTAAATGGTGGACTATCATCATGTTGCCATGAAAACTGCCATGAATTGTAGGTATCCCCATGTTCAGACACAGCCAAAAAGTTGTAGACCTAGCTGTCGGAAAAAGATCTTAAAGTAGGCATCCCGGGAATCCCATGGTAGGTGCACGACTTTGGAAGATATTGGTGGAGTTATGGTCGGCGACCCCGGTGACGCTGGTGAGAACATGGGGATGGCTCATGGTCAAGCCATGAAAAATCCCCGGGACCACAGATTTGAGGATGACATATTGGGGTGTATCTAATTGACCCCATACTCAATTTTGGTTACAGATGGTGAAGGGTATATAGTTGAGTATTCACACCATCTTGTTGGGGTATGAAAAAAATGACCTATCGCCGCATCGCCACAACAGTGAACACACTAAGAACCTCCATTTCAACACTGCACTAAACATACTCGGATTTTTGAGGATGTTCATAGATGATAAAAAAGTGCAAATGACATAAGTATGTAGACATACTCTTCATATACTTCTAGACATACAGTCGTAAGCTTTGAGTCTCAAATGTCTTCGAGATTGGATTGATTCATCCCTCAGCCCTCCATGATTTCAAGGCATTTCACTGGTGATATGTCCTCGTTACTACCAACCTATTACATGTCCATTAAATGAGTACTGCAGGCTATATCATTTGGGCTACCCCAGTCCCCCAAAGTGGACAAGCTACAAATGCCATCTGACATCCTCAGTTTCATCCCCATTTCAGGAGACTTAGCACGTTTTTTTGTTAGTTATATGATGTTATACAAGGTGGTGCCCCCCAAGATAGCTAAGTTGGTTTATAACTCCACTAACTATGGTTTCTAGGTGATATACCTATAGTTAATGAGCTTATGACCAATCTATAAGTGGGGGGGACCACCTTGTATGAGTGAGATGCCCATGACATCCCCGTGAAAACATGGTGAAAACCCACCATTTCAACGAACACGAACGTTGCTTCAAACGTCAACACGCCCCCCCGGTCTCCGCATTGAGGCCGCGACAAGGACGATGATGGTGAACTCCGGGAGGCGGTCTTTTTGGAGGCAGAATTCATGGTGCTTCAATGGGATTTAATGGCTGGCTGGTTGGAACCATGGAATTTTCCTGGTTAATCTAATGGTTAATCTAATGGTTAATCTATGGTTAATAATTGGAATAACAATATATCTGGTTGGTGGTTTGGAAGATGAATTTTACGACTTTCCATCTATTGGGAATTTCAGAACCCCAACTGACGAACTCCATGATTTTTCAGAGGGGTAGGTATACCACTAACCAGATGGGAATTATAGATGAGTGGTTCATATCGATTTTTGGGGACTCATATGATTTTTTCTGGGACTTATACTGATTGATGGAGGGAATCTATAACCAATCTATATATAATAAATCAGAGTTCTTATATATATTTGACATCTGGTTAATTATACTGGGAATTCATGGTGGTTTATATGGGGAATTAATATATGAATTAATGGGAATTGATGGGAATTGTGATGGAACTCTATGAAATTGTAGTATCTGAGTTCCTCTGGAATCTTCATGAACATGCCAGGAACCCATTGATACAAACCTTGTAGATCGTGCCACAGGATCCTTCCTTGGGGCGACCATATCACTTGAAAAATTATGTTTTTGTTGATGGCAACTGAGAAAAACTTAGAAACGTAATATACAGTACCATTACTTCAGTAGGAATTTTCATGTCTAATCATGTATATATATATGTATATACAATTATATAAATTATATTTATATATACACATATGTATTTGGTTGCTACCAGTAATTTCTATCCAACATTTTTTGGTCGTGAGTTGTTCCCCATCGACCCATCCCCTGGCTTTCACGGCTTGTAGGTGCCGCTTCGGAAGGATGTGGAAGCGCGGCAGATTCGAGCGCACTTGAGCATGAGGCCCGGTGAGCTGGTGTACTTGGGGGGAAAAATGTGGGGAAATCCCAGAGATACCCGGCCTGGTTATGACTAACGTAGCCATGGAAAGATCCACCATTTTTAAGAACGGTAAACCATCTATAAATGGGCCATCTATACCATGGTTATGTGAAATAACCATAATATATATATATATATATAAATGGAGGTTGTAATGAAAAAATCATCTATAAATGCTGGAGTTTCATGGATTTTCCATATATCATGGTCTTGTCTAGTCGATGATTTGGCTTACTGTACCAATTGGAAATGCACTACTTAGGAAATCTGCAAGGGAATATATTTCCTTATTTGGAGGGTCCTTAAGCAAGAACAAGTTACTTTGATGGGTATAACCACGATTATTTATCATGGTTAGAAACCTCCAGAAGTGAGGATAAAACCCCTATAACTATGGAGACATATCCACAAAAATAACTGGAACTGCCATGGATTCGTCCTTGGAATATTTGGTGAATTGTTTTCGATGGTCCCAATGGAGATCATGAAGCCAGATGGGTTCAAGGCATCCAGTGGTCCATGAGTTTTTTGATTATTTGATCTAGATTTGTCATGAAAATTATAGGAAAATACGGTACCCTTGAAACGCCACCAGAAAAACTATTCATATATCCATGTTCCTCTATTTCCTCATTAACTTATTCGAAAGTGGCATGTCCACCATTTTCTGCAAGCAACTGGCTAAAAAAACAACCATTAGGACGCATAAAGTTCAATATGTAGGAGTTCTGTTCAAAGCCGCAAACTTGAATGTAATGGCTGCAGGCAGTATACCTAATTCTTGCTGTAAATTAGCTACCTTTTTTGTTGCTGATTGTATACACTAGATCAGTGCATATCAGTCGATTTGTGGGCTATTAAACGGCTGTTAGTACTTCGATTGTTTTGAGAAGTTGCCCATATTTGCTGCTCCTGTTTATATTTGCTTGTTGGCAATTGCAAGATGTTCACCAATAATATAGACATTTCTATAGTTGTACTTTTAATCCCTTCCCCCTGACATTGCAATTATTTCATACATACGCCCCAGATGGGACCCACCATGGTTTCTGGGTATATAATTGACATTCATTTTTCGCCATATTAATCCCCTCTATTTGGGACGTTTGAAGCAGATAAAACGACCAAGCATTTTGGATGGTTAAACCATGGTAACCATAGCATTTTATAGCCATTTAAGATCACCTTACTGCCATTTTATGAGGGCTGAAGTGGTGCTAGGCAACTGAAGTTGGTGGTGCACGGCGACACGCTACTGGAGGAGGAGCCATGCCGAGTTTCTTTGTTGGAGATGGCTATGGGTAGCTCCAGGAAACCAACAGAGGCTATGGAAGGGATATTCAACATGGGCTTCAACCAACATTAAATATCATTAAATTATGAATGTAGCATGGTGTAACCAAAAAGTGATGGACAAAAACTAAGCGGTGGGGTCATGATTGAGTTCCAAAATGGGGAAATATGATGCCTACACCCAACTATCAATGGATTGGCTTCAGGGAAAATAGGAAAATATACAGGAAGAAGACGTTGTTTTTCTTCCAGCAGTTATAGGGAGCTGTAGCTGGGGGCAATGTTTTTTTCAGTACTTCAGCCTCCACATGGGGAGGTTCCAGAAATGAAAAATCCCCAACAGCTGGTTGGTTGATACTGGAACATCCTAATAAAATTGATGAAAATGGTTGATGTGGAGGTTGCCCAAAATGGTTGATACTGGAAAATGGATGGTTGGTTGGATGTTTTTGGGGTACCCCGGTACCCCGGTTTTCGGAAATTTCCACATTTGTTTGGAACCTGCGCAAGAAGTGGCACAATTTGAAAGATTCCTTGACAAGGACAGCAATGCAAAGTGGTGCCAACATGTGCCAACGAGAGTGCTCCGTGGCACTCGCAGCAAGAATCATTGCAATGTACCTGGAATTGTCGCATGCTTCCTGGAAACTATTTTGGCTGTGACCTGGGCATGTCGATAGGGGATACATCCAGTACCGTGAGTTCCTCCTGTTCAAACAGAGCGGAACAACTCCCCGCTACTCACTGGAGGTCCTCATGTTTTTTCCATGATTCTTTGTTTGTTGTCAACCTAGTGGCATTTGAATTTCGATGGTTATTGAATGAGTCAAAAGCCCATCGTTCTTAGTCTTGGTGTTTTTTTCCCGTGTTTGACCATGTGTTTGGTTGAAATCTGTTCGCTTGAACGCAGGGTACCCTCCAAATTCGATGGCGATCCCAAGGGTATCCCATGGGTATCCCATGGTCATCCCCCCATTTCACTCACGCAGGAGTTTGAAGATTGCAAGTGGTTGGATGTGGGTGAGTCCTACTGGGAGATCGAAACTGGGATGGCAACTGATGGCCATAGACTGATGGATATGATGGATACGGATACGGCCAATGGCGTCCAAATATTCAACCCTAACGTAGATATAAGATGATATAAGTAATATATATATATAGTAGATGGAACTAGATGGTATAAGATATGAGATGGTAGAAGTAGATTAGAGGAAGGAACCAGCCAATGTATGGAGATTTTGCGAGATTTGATCCATGATTAGTGGATAATTCTACATGAAAATCCTATACCACTAAAGAATGGATTGTTTTTGAACCGGACGAATTGTGTAGGTCCATGAGTATATGAAGTGCATTAAGCTAAGTTTAGCCCATTCTCCCCATCTTGTGGGGCTGTACTTTAAGGTGCCTTTATCTTTGTAAATGGCTGGACCATCCACACCCAAAACATGGTAAAAAGCACTAAAGAGAGGGGGTCACAGATTGTTTTAGTGGTACTTGGGGGGTCTAGGTAGCTTGGAAAATTAGTTCACAGTCATTAAAGTATGCCAAATATCTACTTGAATGAGTTGAAGTTGAATAGTTTGAGCGTCGGGATCCAACCAAACATCAACAGATATGGCCGCAGCATGAAAAAGGTGAAAAGAGAGAATGATCATATGGGATTAAAGGCATCCCCCTTTCATAATGTTTCACAGCCCCATGAATTTTGGTAGCCTATTGATGTGATGTAATCCCATGAAATCCCCTCATTTTTTCGTTTCACCAAACAGTTGATTTAGGGGCTGTTGAATGGCTGTTGAATGGCTGTTGAATATGAATGGGAGATGGGAAATGATGGGAATAGTGTAAAGTTATTGATTGACATGTTATTGACATTTGCAGTCTCAATTCATCTAGTCTGATTGAAGGAGATGAATTGAAGGGGTGTGTGGTACGCCGTGCTGCAAAGCAGTGGTCCCTTAGGGACGCCGTTGTGAGTCCCTGAAATTGATTCTGATGCTTTGATGTTCTTGGCACATTGACTCCCTAGAATTGCTTTCAATAGTTCAATACCCTCTGGTAAACTAACATAACTATTGAAAATTACCATGTTTAATGGGAAAACTCACTATCAATGGCCATTTTCAATAGCTATGTTTGACATAACCAGAGGGTAGTTTCAATTCTTGCTTTTCCACAGCTACCACAGGGGATTGTTCCGCAACTAAGTTATCTTCTCGGATGACTCAACCACCAACCCATTTTCCATTCACAGTTTTACTTGGCAGCCGCATGTCTCAGTGCTATTCAGTGCTGGCTCGCTCACTTCCGTCCTGAGGAAGTGAAAGAGGTGAAGAAAGTGCGACGAAAAGTGTTGAGGTCATTTGTTTTAATTCGCCTCTGGTACTTGGTGGCGAACTACCCACTTAGTAAGTGGGTTATAACCCCAGTGATTTCAGTGGATTAACCCTACTTATCCCATGTATAACTCCGGTTAGAACCCACTTACGATTCGTGGGTAGTTCGCCACCAAGTAATCAAACGTGGCTGGGCAATCCCCCAAATCTGGAGGTTTCTAGCATAGCCAGCCACCTTGGATGACCAGAGGGAAAAAAAGCCGGATGTTGTTCTGCGATTTGATGCGTTGGAACAGTGAAATCTATGCCATCTATGCTTTGTGTATGCATGTGGGAGTCGTCCTAAAACCCATGCAAGGCTTTTAGTATCCGAGTGACATCTGCAGATATGGATATTGGACAACCCCCATGTGTTGATGAATTTATTTATTTTGTTAACGGCGCAGTCCACAGCGAAGAAACATAGTAACTCGTACAATGATACTTTATTGGTTAGATCATGTTCAACTGTTTCTTTTTATCAGCAGCTGCACCCCCCTTGGAATTTTGTTTCAGGCAAAACCTAACCGTAACACAATAATAAGTCTTAATGCAGAAATGACAGGCATGTGCCAAGAGCAGTGGCATAAAGGGTATTATATACATTGCATGTCATTGTATTGATGATTGTACATTTTACAACTGGTTGGTGGTTTGGAACATTTTTTATTTCTCTATATAGTGGGAATTTCATCATCCCATCTGACTTCCATATTTTTAAGATGGGTTGGTATACCACCAACCAAGAGTTACACATCACTGGCAATTTGATGCGTGTTTTCTCGCCCCGTCCCCACGGGGACAGGAAGTCAGTTGCAATCTGTGGCTGTGATTTGCTTGCGATCATGTTGCACGTTGGAATATGTTGGAATCACAGAGTAACTATGATGAACCCAATCTAAATTTCATATGTACTGTAAAAGGCCATCATTTGGAGGTACCCTCTGGTAAACGTTTACATAACTATGGAAAGATCCACCATTTTTAATGGGAAAACCCACTATTTCTACGGCCATGTTCACTAGCTATGTAACAAATTACCAGAGGGTAATTAGAATTTGCGAGACAAATCATTAGGCTGTATTCATGGGCTTTGCCACATTTGGCCAAGCAACCCTTGTGCCCCGTGTCCATTGCTCGGGCGTGCCCAGGTATGTGTTGTACGTCATGACGGAGTGTTAGCGCCTTAGGGTTTCTGGGTCCTTTGCAGGGCAAACCCACTTGTGGATGATGGTTGAGAATGGTTCGATCATGTTCAATCGTTTTGCCATTGGGATTGGGGGGACATATTACCCAACTGACACTCATGTTTTTGCATGCTTTTGCAGTAGCGAAGATTCGTTCTGCGAGCTATGTTTTGTGGTTAACTTTGGCAATTGCCGGTGTACAAAGTTGGATTATATTATATAATTAGTTCTGTATGTGTATATATATAATATGTATATTTATACTATACTATGGGTGTATATATATACACTGTCAGATGGTCATAAGAAATTCCCCTTGGTTTGACTTTTGTCATTAACATACCTGGTATGCTTCCAGGTATGCAACTGGATCCACTGAGACCATCTGGATCCAGAAAAATCATCGTCGCAACTGGAAGGTCCCAAGTACATCACCCGCTGGCTCTTCGAGTGTGAGAAAAAGGACCGCCATCGCTGCCTTCCCTTCGATTTCTGTTGATTTCTGTTACATTACCCACTTTTTTTTATAAATTTGAGATAGCTAACTGGAAAACCATAATGTTCATAGGCAAATCATCTATAAATGGACCATTTTCATCAATTTTCCATATCTATGTTAAATAACCCGAGGGTATATTCTTTCACACATATGTTTGTTCGTGTTGAGTTGTCAATATGGCTAGTAACCAATCTATTCTATATCAAGTCTTGGTTTGTATCAAATTGAATTCCAATCTGCCAGCTGATCTCAGAGATGATACAAGTCCAACAAAAATTCTCTAAATCAACCAGTCGACATCAAGATTACAATGAATATATCCATGTAATTCCATGTAAAAATCATGGAAACATTCACTGGTTTCTACGTCACTTCTGTTGGTTGCCACCCGCCAGGAGGATGATGGGCGCTACATTGATCAAGAGGTGCCCACCCATGGGGCCATGGGGCCATGGGGATCGGTAAGGCGAGGCGCTACGTTCATCCCATGACTGCTTGGTGGTGACTGGAACCATGGAATTTTCCTGGTTAATCTAATGGTTAGTCTATGGTTAATCTATGGATAATCTATGGTTAATCTATGGTTAATCTATGGTTAATAATTGGAATAACAATATATCTGGTTGGTGGTGACTGGAACCATGGAATGGATTATGACTTTCCATTGGGAATTTCATCATCCCAACTGATGAACTCCATCATTTTTCAGAGGGGTAGGTTGAAACCACCAACCAGATCAATAAGGGCCTCACGAAGTAAAATCCTAGGCAAAAAACGGTTCTTCATCCCATTTGTTTTTTTGCCTCACTCTGAGTGAGTCCCTAAAGAAATGAGATGAACCAACCTAAGAAGTAAAGTCCTGGGCAAAAAACATGTGAACATGGTGATGCTATAACGAAAAAACAAGTTAGTGTTGTGCCTGGACGTGATATTTGTTATTGATACAGAAATGTTCACCATATGTTCACCATTTGGAGTTTCCCAAAATGGCTAGGTACCCGCAATCATCCAAGTCATATTGAAACCCATGGTGACATGGGGATCCCCCATTTTAGAAGCATTGTATTCCCCATGAAAAAAAATGGTTCACATATTCCGTTATCTATTCATATTGTTAAGTACCCCCATGAATATGCCCAAGTGTGCCATGGGTCAGAAGTTGGATGATATAGCCATGGCTTGGAACTATCATTGCCAATTAAGGATTCTTGTTGTAGCTATGGTGGGATGACGTTAAGAACCCATGTAGCCTGTCCATATACCATGTAGCTTGACCATTGCTGAAATGATGATGAATGAGACTAACCCCGAATAATTATATAATAGTTCCCCATTGCTATGGTTAGTATTATCCTTACTCACTGTTTCTGGGCTAATATGAGCAATCAGCGGTTATTTTTGGGGGATACAGTAGTAAGATACCACTAATGACTAGCAGCTGGCAATGGATGGGGCCCCCGGGTATTTTTCATTCACGGCAATCTAATGGGACTACTGGTATGATTAAGAATGGCATAGCCTTTGGTAATGACTAACATAGCTATAAAAAATCCACCCACGTTTAATATAGGTAAACTATACAGGTAAACCATCTATTTCTGGGCCATTTTCCATAGCTATGTTTGTTTACCAGAGGGTATATTCCCCAAATTGAGGTCAGTCAAATGGGGAGCATCAGTTGGCCCTCGGCAGAGTTGATGATAAACATGGGGTAAAAAAAACTCTCCAATTTTAATGAGAAATCCATGGACATATCCAATTGGAACACATTCTTCCGGTTATTCCATGGGAAATTGATGGGAAATCCTATCCAAATTCACTATGTTGTGAATATGGATCAATTGAGGGGAAATTTTGTGGGAAATCATTTCCCATAGGATCCATGGTGCTGCCATATATGGTGACATTTACCATCAATGTTAGCATTAATATACCAGCACCATGGATCCTATGGGTTTGGAAAACATGATCCTATCCAAGGGAAATCCGAACTGAAGAATTTAGCAAAACATCCTTCAGATTTCATGGTGCAGGGCAGGTTTCGGTGAGACGAGCCGCAACGGCAACTACACTGGAATTGTTTGTTCATGAAACAACAAGGTAGTTTTTGAAACTGAACTGATATAACTATATACAACTGATATCTGAAAGCTCAAACTATAGTCATACGTTCTTTCTGGCTCTAAAAAAAGCTCTTCAGCACGGTATACCCTGTAACTCGATCCACATTCCTGTCGGCTACTGCTGGTCACAAAGCTGTTTCTTGGATCCTCACGTGTGCGTGAAACACTCTGTGAATGAGAGAATGGGCTATACCTATACCCCATATGTTCCATGGTGCTGGTATATGCACATCTACATGACTGGGTGATTTTGGGCAAGGGCAAATTTTGGCATATAAATATTCCAGCACCATGGGTTGCATATGGGTACTAGACTACAACCCCATTTTATGATCCATATTCACTATACTCACGTACGTCAAAAATTGATGTTATCTAAAAAATGGGTTTGTCTGAAAATAGACTAGCTCTACATCCATTTTTTTGGAAACCACCAAATGGACATCAATGATTGGAATACAATGAGTAACCCATTCTTTGTGGGCCATCAAAGGCGAGCCTTTTCCCTTTTCTTTATTGGATTCCCCCGTGGCAAGCTTCCATATTTTTTTGGAGCAGTGTACCCTATGGAGCCTACGTCATTACTACTATCAAACATGATTGTACAATCATGATTGTCACTATTACATACAACTATCATTAATAATATTTAACCACCATTTACCATTATTGGTTGGTGGTTTCAAACATTGTTTATTTTCCATAATATATGGGATAATCCTTCCCATTGACTAATATTTTTCAAGATGGTTAAAACCACCAACCAGTAACTATTATCATTAACCATGTTTAACCACCATTTACCATTGTTAATGAAATCATTACCCCAGGGTCCCTTGATCGATTCCTCGCATTTCCCAGGACGAAGAGGAAGACAACATCGACGATCGCTTGCGCCTCATCGCGCCTCGACGGATTCGGTTGGGACTTCCTCTGATTCCCCCTGATTCATGGTATTTTTAAGGAGATTTCCTCCTATAACTCCACTAAAAAACATGGGGATATGATATATTGATGATATAGACAAGACTTCCCTAGAAAATCCTAGAAATCATTTGGATTAGCGGCAAATGACCAAGAACCCTGTTTGAATTTGGTGTGTTTACCAAGAACACCTCGGTCCTTTCCGGGTTCCAATACACCAACATTGATGACAACCAGCCACCTATCGCTACCTCTAGGACGATGGCTGGATGGTGAGATAGTGAGATGTTTTTTGTTTTTGGTGTGAGCTTAACCCCCATAGATTTGGAGCAACCATCTCATTCCCGCTTGTCATTTCCTGCTGCGCGTTGATCAATGTCACTCTAGATGTCAGAAGAATATGTTTGCCATGTGGAGGTTTCCTGACATAGGGCTACCCCCAAACAATCCAGTCACTAGACCATGACCATCCATGACCTTAGTATTGAAACTTATGGTGACATGAGGGCTCCATTTCCTTTTGGGGATCCCCCATTTTAAGAAACCACTATTTGGATGTGTCTGAAAATAGGGTATAAGCCTCACTATTTATTGCCTTAACATTTGATGAACATGATTTAACATGATTAACTGATTTGACAAATCCACGTTTCATGGTTAATCAAATCACTTAATCATAATTTTAAACATATAAAGTTCATTAAATTTTTGAACTGATTTAATTAACCGTGAAATCTGGGTTTCCGTGGCTTGCCTTTTGACAAGTTTTCACACAGCGGCCTGATGTTTGAGCCAGCGGCCTGACGGTTGGATTCGCAAAGGCCAAAATGAAAGAGCCAGAACCCTATCGTGATGCAGACATTTGGTTCAGCGAAACCGAAGAAGAGGAGGATCCTGGGATATCCTGGGCAACCTGGGAATACCGGTTGGTGCTTCATCTTAGCCATGATAAATATTGGCTTCCTCTCATCTTAGCCATGATAAATGGATATAAATGGCTGATTGGTGGTTTCAAAGATGTACACTAAGCAGCTGGGGATTTATGGAAACAAGCCTTGATCTGCTAGAGGACTAACTGGATCCAGGTTGATCTGAATGGTTTGGTGGTATGATGCTCCATTTTGTAGAAAATCTACGTTTTACCCCACAATTTTAGTACGGTTACACTTTTTTGCGGGTATTTGAAGGGCGATTTTATTTATGATATTTGGGGTATACCTCATTTTCAGGCATACCCACATTCAAACCTAGCGCGCTAGGAGCGCTGGTGCGATGGTTGCGGCTCAACGCGCGTCGTGGTCATGAAGAAGCACACGGATGCAACCCGTCGACCCGTCGACAAAGGATGGTGGCCAGTTGGCGGGTGTGGATACCTCCTGGGTGTACCCTTTTTTAATTTCTGGATCTTTATGGCTGGTGATAGTGGATACCAGTATATAACTACACTAATTCCATTAAATCCTATGAATATCATCAATAATCTGGTTGGTGGTTTGGAACATGGCTTTTATTTTCCATCATAATATGGTACAGTATGTCATCGTTTCCATTGACTAATACGTTTCGAGTTTTTCGAGATGGTTAAGACCACCAACCAGACATTTAATTTTATAGGAGGTGATTATGAAACACTCTAAATGAACATTAACAACTGGAATGTACCTACCTATGTCAGACAGAAACCCATGTGATTACACCACTAGAGGTATCTCTGGGTCAATGATGGGCTGATGTCGATTCAGATCCATTTGGTACGGCTTCCCAAGTCACCATGGGTTTCTATACTAAGTCCTGGTCTAAGGTTGGGATGATTAGGGGGACCCTCCATTTTAGGAAAACCCCGTAATATGGATGTGGGTCAAAATGGAAGACCGATGGGGGACCACAGATGGAAATGTCTAGTTTAGTATTCACCATCCAATTATTGGGGTACCTAATTTTGACCCATACCCATACGCCTATATTAATTTAAACATGTTTCAAAACTCAGTTCCGCCTATATTTCGCCATTCGGACCGCTGCAGCTGAGGTGCTTTTTTTCTCGTGTGAGTTTTTTTGCCTTGCGTCGAATCTCGATCTTGAGTTCCTTTAATAGATCCTTTAAGCATATCCAATATAGCCATGTCCTTGGGTTAATTAGATCGGTTACATCCCCTGAAAATCTTGGGACAAAAGTTGGTTCCGTCGCCCTTAAAAGTCCCATGTTTGTGAACAAAAAACATCTCCAAACGTGTCAGGGATTTGTGAAAGATATGACTCAACCATACTCAACCATTGAACCATGCCATTTCTATGCCATGTTTCTATATGTTTCTTACATTCTGATATAAAAAAGCGCCTTGCCAGCCAACAGCTGGCAAGTTTGCCCAACGGCCCAACGAGGGACTCTTGGGACTCGAGGCAAAGTACATGAAGTACTGCAACGACTGCCCCTTCGTGTCCCCCGCCAAGGCCGGGGCAGTTAGTTGGAGGGGCGCTGATTTCAGTTGCAGATGCAGTTGGGGTATGAAATTATCTTCAAATGGAGATTTGTAGAAGGGGAGATATAGATGGATATAATATTGTATTGTATTGTATATATATATATTACTATATATATATATTATGTAATATCTATCTATATATATATGTAATATATATATATATGTGTAATATATATATATGTAATAATATGTAATATATATATATACACATGTAAATAAAGCATATATATATATACATACATACATATAATAAATGTAATCAAATGGGTGTGTCCCAGAGAGTATGTTTTACCCTTAAAGTTTTAAAGGGCCGTTTTAATAGGGGACATGAAGATAAACCATCAAATTGAAAGGTATCCACAATTTCGGACAAAAACAGCTGTATGTTTTCTATGTTTTCGTTTATGTTGTTTTATGTTATTTGATATCCAGTACCTCAACCTCTAATCAAAAAGTTTGTAGATACAGCGATCGGCTGTTCTTAAATCACCCCGATCTGAGCTAGGAACTATCCATTCGTCATACAAACAAAAGGAACTGCATTGAAATTCCACGTAGCAGGTGTAAGTACAACTAGTAGACAAAAGAGCAGCTTGCAAGAGCTTGGATCCATGTGGAACACGGAAAGTGGCAACGTTGACCCAGTGTTGAGTGTTTCTTGCGCCTGCCAACTCAGTCCAGTGGTTTGTTCCCATAGCTACTGGACTTTCTCGGCACGCCAGACTCATCCAGCACGGCCGTACCGCATGGGCAGAAGGTTACATCCCTTCACGTCCATCGAGTGTTAGTGCTAAATGACTGCACCAGTCTTCGCAGACTCTGATGTCGCATTTTGGGTGCCGCTTGAGATTGGAAACACGCAGAATTGGAAACACGCAGAATAGAATGAGATAGGCTTAGTTAGTCAAATATGACCATTATTTGGTGATTGGCAAGGCATGTTTTCATAGCTTGGCACGGTTGTGCCAGACTCTTTGTTTTGTTGAACTGCTTGAACAAATAGATGATGTCCGTGCTGATGACAACGACGACGATTGTGATGATCTTCTCCATGATCTCTGAGACATGTTGCTTTCTACGTCCTGCGGTGGTTTTGGCATCCAGATTTCCAGTGACTTGTTTCAATTCATGTCTCGAAACAAGACATTACAATTCCAGTACAACTCGTAGACAAAAGAGCAGCTTGCAAGAGCTTGGATCCATGTGGAAAACAGAAAGTGGCAACGTTGACCCAGTGTTGAGTGTTTCTTGCGCCTGCCAACTCAGTCCAGTGGTTTGTTCCCATAGCTACTGGACTTTCTCGGCACGCCAGACTCATCCAGCACGGCCGTACCGCATGGGCAGAAGGTTACATCCCTTCAGGTCCATCGAGTGCTTGGTGTTTCAGCGCGAAAAGATGCAACTCCACACAGCTTCGGGAACACTAATCCCTGCCGGATCCATGGTGAATGTTCCATATCTTAGTATGTTCTATTCTATATCCTATCAGTGTATCATATTCACCATGTACTATCTATCTTAGTGTATCTCTTATTATTGTTCTATTCTAGATCCTATTAGTATGGCCATGGTGTACTATCATTGTTCCATTCGATTATCCCATCATGCTATGTTATAGCCATGTTGTTCTCCCACTCATTGCCGACAAGGAAACAGGGCTGCCCACAGGGTTGCTAAAGCAGAAGGCGCGGCGGCGGGGCCGCGCTTGGGCGCTGACCAAATGAGCCATAGTAAATTGCCTCTGTTGATGGGTTAATGTGGGAGAGTATATTATAGCAACCCCAAAAAAGATAGAAATATGTTGCTAGGATGGCATAGATGATACTTACCACACATTTTCCAGGTGTCCAATTGTTCTATCTATTTTGGGGTTGCTATAACTGGTTTATTGGGGATTATTATAACCCATAATGGGAATATTTACAAACCAACCAGAATAATGGGATAGAATAGGGGTATTTTTCATGGCTCAAATACAGTACCATGTTTGCACAGAACTGGGCTATACCCTCAAATTGCGCGAACAGTTTTGACAAACCTTGCTGAAATTGGGGCTTTGAGTTTATCCTACATGTTGACATTTACCACAAAAAACACCCAGTCATGGGTAAATATCGGTTTGTCTGATCATACAGAGGACACGAATACTTCCATGTTGATCATTATGTTTCTCATTTACATTGCAAATTTAATGCCAATTTAAGTCGTATATCATGTATACTCCATTTTCAGACACGCCCGAAATAGATTAGATTAGATTAGATTAGATAGCTAGATAGCTAGGTAGATAGATCATCCACAGATAGATATGATCCCCACGAAACAGCAAAACAGCAATACACCCAACAAAAATACCCCAGTGAAAAAGCACCAGGAGATCGATGAGAAGAGAGCTCGCAAGCAGCGGCTTCGGGTCGCCCGGCATAGGAGTCATGGGAGAGTTGTTTCGTTGGTGATTTGGCGTATTTTCCCAATGGGAAATAAACTAGACTAGACATGGGAATCTCTATAAATATGTATATATATATATTATACGTATATTATATATATATATATGGATGACCTTAAGCAAATTCAATGCAAGTAAGATGAGTAAGATCTGGGGTATTGCCACTGTATGTCATGGTTTATTGAACAAAGTTCAAGCGACTTGCCAATGACTCTGACGGACCCAGGCACGGAAAGAAGAAGCAAAGAGGCGGATGGAGGCAGGACTCCATCGGAGTCTTTTTTTTGAGAAGCACATGCAGAATATGGTAACAATCATTTGGAGGTCAATCTATATTGATCAATACTGGCAATAATTAATTATATTCTAATTATCATATTATATGATATATTTACACAATATAGGAGACCATTTTTTTGGAGGATCATAAACCATAGTTATTACTATGGTATTTCTATGGTTTTTAACTCAAACAACTATGGTTTTGTTCTTTTGGAGATGAAGCAACAGCAGAAAAATACTGAGCCATGGGCAATGGGATGATTATTAGCAACTGGGGATTACCATAGGAAAATGGAGGTTTTAATGGGAAAACCATAGGAAAACCATAGGAAAACCGTAGGAAAACCATAGGAAAACCATAGGAAAATGGAGGTTTACCCTCTGGTAAACATACAGAAAACGAACTGGAAAGATCCACCATGTTTTTCCATGGGAAAAAACTCACTATTTCGACTGGGCCATGGCTTCAATAGCGAACTGTAAGAAATTACCAGAGGGTAATGATTTTAATGAGTCTTGACCATGGCACATGCCAGGCATGTTTCGTGGTGTGTGTTTTCTGAAATCTGATTGGAATCCCAAGATGCCAAGACTTGTATTCCCTTTAGAGCATGCTTTGAATTTGACCAAGAAAAAAAAGCACGGCTTGCAAACCCATAAGTTTGAATGTGCTCAGGCATTGGATGTGGCTCATCATTATAAGAAACACAACACATTCTACATCTATATATATATAATTACATATATATATAATTACATATATATATATATAATTATATATATATATATATGCATATACATATATGTCGTATGATAACAAATCTATATATATATATATTATATATGTATGTATGCTATCTATATTGTATCCATGTTATCATTGTTCATTCTACGTCAGTTTTTTTTTTTTTTTTTACGGGAGTTTCTCTGGCCCGCCAGGCTCAGAAAGATGCCAAGGAAGCCGCCGACCGCAGCGAGGAGGCGGCGTTAATGTTAATGATATGATTAATATATGATTATCATTTCATTGGTTATTACAGGGTGGGGCCCCCAAGATAGCTAAGTTGGTTTATAAGTGGCTTAACAAGGGTTTATGGTAGATATAACTATAGTTAATGGGGATTATAATGGTTTATAAACCAACTTATAACTGGGGGGCCCCATCCTGTATCTGGTTGGTGGTTTGGAACATTGTTTATTTTCCCCAATAGCTGGGATTATGATCCAATCTGACTTTCATATTTTTCAGAGGGATTGAAATCACCAACCAGTTATTTATTGGTTATATGTTACCCTCCAGTAAATTAACTTACCCTGATTTTATCACCTATTTTTAATGAAACTAGTCTTCCAACCCCGATGAATGCCAGGGTCTATGTTAATTTACCAGAGGGTAAGTAACAAATGGTTAACTAAGTATATTTATTGGTTTATCATTGGTTATTAGTGGATTAATAATCGGATTAATATGTTGTCTACTACAACACTCGACATATGTTGTTTATAATAACCATCATTAGATATTAGGTAAGAAATATATATATATATATACACCAATAGTTAACCATTAGTTTCATATCCAATAGTTATGCCAATAGTTTTATATAACCAATGATAGTATACTAAGGATTTATTGATAGTTAACCAATAGTTAAGTATACTATCATTAGTTATATTAACCATCAGTCTTCTTATGATTGATTAACTAAGGATTACATATGTTGTTTATTAAAAGGAGAAAAAACAAACAAACTATCATTAGGGGTTATCTTTGTTGATTGCTTAATGATAGTTAATGGCAGCTAATTTGTTTATAAAGCAACCCACATTTCACTGGGAGGGTGCTCACCTTTACAGGTAAGTTTAAGGCCACAGGGTTGGTCATTTTCTAGTTTTATAATGTTTTATATCTATATCCAATTTATTTCCCCAATGTATTTGGGGTGTTGGGAGCAATCAGGACCTTGATTTTTATTGTTTTTTTGTTAGTTTCACCAGCTGTGATGGGACTAGAATGCATCCCCATTCTAGTCACTGGAATGGGGATGCAATAGGGATACACAATGATACACAACAATAAACCCCAAAAGGGAATTATTCCACCAGTAAATCTTGGATCTTTATGGGAGTTCATTCTGTCAACCTTGGATTGGTAGTTTAGTACTTTTTTTGTTGCTGCCGGGAATCTATACTAGCCATGTTTCACAACAAAAATGGAGGGAATCTCGGAATCTCCAAATCGGGTCCTTCTCGGTTCCAAGTACGATCCATCTCCCAAACACCGCGTTTTTGTTGATGGTTTCTTCTCCAAGATTCTAGTCACAAATGACATCATTTGACATTGAAGTTTAGTTCGGTGCCGAAGTCGGTTCCTAGTTTCAGACTGAGAAACGCTTGCGGAGAATATATTGTGTATTGAGCCATATTTAGCTTCCGGCAATCAAACGTATGTAGCAATGGAACATCTTCCATGTATATTAGAGTTTGTTTTCCCTTTATCCCTCTATTCATTGTGGATTTTCAATGGCCATGTTTGATTACCTGAGAGTACTAGTAACCTATACATTACTTTTGCCTACGATAAACCTATGGGCCAAATGTACGTCTCTGGAACCCAAGGAATCCCAAAAACCGATCTTTTGGAGCTGGTTGTGTCCAAGCATGGTACCCTTTTCGGCAATTTGAATGACGGAAAATCAAGGTGACGGGATTCCAAATTCAAGGCTTACTGGTACTTAGCAGGGAATGGATGGGTTGCTGGGGGTTGCTGGGATGATTATTACTAGTGATTATGGATCATTCCCGGAAATTCCCTGCGTAAAACGCACCAGTAAGAAGGTTACACCTCCAATTCCACAGCCACATGGTGGGCACTGTTTATCCAGGTACCTGAAGACTACAAGCAGGAGGAGTGGAACCGCATCCCCGTTGCTCCGCGATTCGAGATGCCGGTATATCATCGATACAAGTGGCTATATCATGATATATCAGCTATCTGGCGGCAAGTGCCATGTAGCATCCTACATATACCGTAGCATGTGGTGGTTCAGGATCTGGGTCTAACCTTAGACACCCAGATTTCGGATGTGGAGTTCATCCACCAGCTCTCCAGCCAAACAAAAACGCAGGAGAAAACCAAGATTTACACGCGCGAGGATTTCCATGAAGTTCTCACCAAGGCGGGTCTAGATCCATCGTTTGCTGCTGTTTAACCATGGCATTTTACTGCTGGTTTTCTCACTGGTTGAAGGAATGTCATCTCCAGTGTCATCCATTCTTCACAAGCAAAACAGAAATAAAAGATGGGTTTGTCTGAAAATAGGGTATATTCCCAATTATAGCCATTTAATAGGGATAATGATCATTAACCATTGGGTTTAGGGGTACACTATTTTCAGACACACCCAGATGAAGAAATCCGAAATGCCAGGTCCCACCAGGTTTTTTTTTCGGAGCCCTTAAACAAATGATGCGGCAGTGGTTGGTGCGCCCCAGGCCCTGAAGAAGGGAGAGATCAAGTGGGAAGACTATTGACACATCGTTTGACCACCGCGACAGTCCTGGGATTCCCTGAATTTCTGAAATTTCTCGAAGTCCTGGGACACAGAAATAGCCAGGTCGATTTGGAACTGCAGTTGTTTGATGAGTTCTTTTGATACTGATCATTTTCATTCATTTTCAACATATTTCATGGGTAGCATTTGGGTAGCAATCTGAGCATGCTAGAGTGTGCAGCTGAACTGGTACATTATTGATTTTAACAATCACACGCTTTCGATTGTTTCGATAGTTCTTGATGGTTGTTTGCAAATTGTTCAAATTATATCAAATGATTATGAAGTGGAGGAACCACCCTTGAGCAAAGGCGGTGACAGGTATGCAGGAAACAAACAGTTCCAAACATTGTGTTTGGATCATTTGCTTCAGGTTACCTGCAGACATGTCAGCAAACAAACCAAGCGTCGGTCAGAGGTTGCCAACCTTGTCAGTTGTGGACCCACCTTGTATATAAATGTATATCTGTATATCCCATCATATCCCACTATATTCCCATGATATTCCTACGAAATCCCATTTTTTGGGGGGGGGATTCCCACTATAAATCTCATCCCATAATATGGGATATTCCCACTATAAATCCCATAATAGTCCATTATATAAATATGGGTATGGATCAATACCTATTAATAGCATTTTTAGGGGGATGAACATCCATTTACCAGCTATTTTGATGTTCACCAGGGGTACAAGGTTTTGACACACTGCCATATGAATCATTTCTAGCAACTGAATCCGATGGACTGTGCAGTGGTTTTTGACCAGCTAAATAGTCAGTTTGGCTTGGACGTCCCCAAGCCATGCCTGGCGCCGTAGTGGCACTATGTTGCTGCTACAAGTTGTTGACTTGGAGTGTATGTGGGGAAATGTGAACCCCAAGGATCTATCCATATCATGATCATCTACTGCTTGGTGGTGACTGGAGCCATGGAATTTTGAATGACTTTCCATTGGGAATTTCATCATCCCAACTGACGAAGTCCATGATTTGTCAGAGGGGTAGGGTATACCACCAACCAGTCTATATCCCTTGATAGGAAAGAAGCTCAAGTTCAGCAGGACATCCCAACCCTACTAAGTTCGAATCTTGTCGGCTCAATTCGAATATCCCAAATGGAGGTTTTTGTTGTTTTTTGTTTTCTTAACGGGAAGTCAATGGCCAACCCAATCCATATCATGGATGATGGCAACTCAGAACAAGCCGACAATATGAGATTGTGTGTTTGCGATGTGTTTGTGTGCTCAAAGAAGCTCTATCAATTTGGGTATGTCATGTCGTTATGTCCTCAAAATCCAAAAGCAAGACGGCCCCCAGAGAAATTGGCAAGTATGAGTATAATAAAATATAAATCACATAATCTATATATATATTTGTTTGGGAGCCCATGGCAGTCCATGACGTTTGCTATCTATGAAATTTTCAGCGATCCTTCCAGGGCTCCAGGGCCTAGCTTAAAGCCACTGGAGGGTATCATAGAAGCCACTGCGTTGCGCCGCAGCCCGGCTTGAGCGACGTTTCCCGCGCTTCCGAGAAAGAAGAGCTGCAGCTTTGGTGACCTCAGGTGTCATCCAACATAGCTGGGAAATCCAGAATAAGTACTTGGTGGCTCACTACCCACGAATCGTAAGTGGCTTATAACCGGAGTTATCAATGGGATTTTTTGTAGGCTTAATCCACTTATAACTCACTGGGGTGAACTAACCCACTTTAACGATTCGTGGGTCGTTCGCCAAGGGGAAATCCACCATGACTGAGGGGAAAATCATCGAACTAAACGGTGGATTTTCCAGCCAAGGTTGATGAAACCAGAGATTAAAGCATCAATGACTCAGTTCCTAACTTCACTTTTGTTTATCAATCATCAGTATTTTTGTTGGCTGCTGACCAACTGTCACAACTGTCAATGGGTCATGTGATTGGGTATCTAAAGATGAGATATTGTGACATTGTTAGGCCATATTTTGGGTACAGACAATTCCCTGAAATTTGTGCCAATGCCTTGCAGTATAGATATGTTCCATCACACAGATGTGTATGGTTCAACATTATCAGCCCCCAAATAGGGGGATTTCAAGAAATATGGAATCCCACATGATATATATGGGAGGTTTCCTAAAGTGGGGGAACCCCCAAATAATTCAATTCATTATAGACCATATTCGTCTTGAAACTTATGGTGACTTGGGGATTCCCCATGGTAAGAAACCACCATATTGATATATTATGAAGGTTTTCTAAGTCAGCCAGGGGTACCTTTAAATCATCCATGTTTGTTCTAATATTTTCCATGAAATCAACCATCCAGCGAGCGAAAATGGGTACCCCCATTTTCGTATCCCAGATGCTCCATGTATGTAATACTATGGAATATTGACCTAGATGACTGGGTCATTTTGGTGGTAAATGTTGGTAAATGTTGGTAAATGTTGGTAAATGTTGGTAAATATTCCAGCACCATGGGTTGCATATGGCTATGGAACCCATGACTCTTCCCTTTGTCATCCCTTCACTCCATCGCCAGCGCGTGCCCTTGGTGAACTTCTCGATCCTCACGCCATCGCCAGCGGTACCGGGACCTAACCAGGGAGATCCAGAGAGTGGCTGCGGCCTGGTGATGAATTGATTACCCTCCGGTAAACATACCAAAAACGATGGAAAATCACCATCTTTTATAGGTAAATGGCAAATCAACGATTTCAAATTGTTTTCTTTTTTTCAATAGCGAACTGTTAAATTAGCAGAGGGTCATGTTATTATCAGGGGTTGTACTGACTGGTTTTTGATTCATCATAGCTTGTTTATAGGTTGATTAATAAAATACTAGCTGGTTTATAGGATATAGATGGATATAGGGGGTCAGTGTCAGAGTTTTTGTTGTCGATTGATCAACAGCTATGGTGCTGAAGAGAAGTAAAACATGTTTTTTTTTTCCAGTAATTTCCGTCTGGTAACATGGGGAAATCCCTGTTTCTTTACGGTTCAATGAGAGGTTTATCGCTGGGACATCGAAAACTCGGGGGATTTGTTCGAATGCCACGGGGCCACCGGAGGCTGCAATTCTCCTCTGGTTGGTTCAGCCCAGGTATGCCAACCTTTGCATCCATCGCGCGTTGGAAGTAAGGAGGTGCTGTCTGCTTCACAGAAAAAGATCAAAGAAGAAACCAGCCGTTTTGAATGTCACAACGTGGGATGTTTGTGTTGTTCTTGTTTTTTTTTTTTTTAGGAGGGACGTGGTGCTGGTCGCTTTGAGTATGAACACATTGAGCGGTGGGAAGAGTCGGTGTCCTTCCATAGACCAATCCAACTGTGGATATATCCAGTAAAGCTCCAATCGACCTAGTAGCCAACTTACCTATCTATATGGAGCCTCTTCATGTAGATATGATATGTCAATTCGAATGAATGAACGCTACAAGCTGGTGCCCCCTTGTTATAAGTTGGTTTATAACCCCATCTCTAGTTATTTCAGCAACATTAGCCCAGCAGCAGCAGCAGTTATATTATATATATATGTATCCATATGTTTACCAACTTAGCGATTCCGAACTGGGGCACCACTTTGTATACCCTCCGATCAAATCAAACGTGGCAATGGAAATCCCCTATAATAGAGGTTTTGAATTGATAAATCATCTAGAAACGATGGATTGTTCTATGCTTAGATCATGTAAATCATGACTTGGCCTAGGAGTCCAGGAGACCATTGCAGGGGAAAAAAAACAGACCCTGTGCTGCCCACTAGGCAGCACCGGCCACAGATGCGGCTTCCGCAACGGAGGCAGCAGCATGTTGGGTTGTTGAGCTGTTGGAGCGGAAGCTGTGGCCAATTTGAAGAAGGTTGATATGTGTGTATATATATATAACTTATATATATATATTATTGTTAAGTAGTAAGTAGTAGTGATTCATGGTGGTCAATGGTGTTTGGTGGTGATTAACATGAATTTCTCTATGATTATTGGATAGTAATGGAACAAACATTGAATTTAATTGGGTTTATATATTGGGGTTGTGTGGGGTAATTTATCGTTCGGTAAACCAAGAGTTTGCGAACTGGAAGCCATGGCCAATGGTTTGTTTAATTTATCGAGCTTACAGTTGGTGACGTTCCATAGCTATCTTAGTTCACCAGAGGGTAAATGCTTAACAATCATTCATCCATGTTCATCAACGATGTGGCTATGGATCAATACCTTATTTTTATGTGAACTACTTGGGTACAGAGTTTTGGTTCATACCCATGTACTTAAACACCTTCCAACCTGTCAGATGTCATATCCCAGTCCCAAAAGCATGTATCGCTTTTCATCAGCAGCGTGCCAGGAAGAGGTCAAGGAGACATATGTCAGCCCGACTGGTCTTGATGTGATTTCAGACAAATGAGCATTTCCGAATGGGGTTTGAAGTAACAAGAAATCGGAAGTGAAACCACCAACCAGACAACATCATTGGGTTTTTGCCCATTCTGTCCCCATGATATCCCTATTTTACATGGGTTTGAGCTAAGTTGTCAGTAATTAAGTAGATAGTAGGATATCTTGTGTCCCAGTGATGGGCTAAGTCTACCGAAAGTTTCTGTCAACTGGTTGTGATATGTTGTCATTTAATTTATAGAATTTATTAATTCTATAACTGGCTGGATTCCTGGTTGGTGGTTTGGAACATGTTTTATTTTTCAATATACTGGGAAGAATATTCCCAACTGACGAACTCATATTTTTCAGAGGGGTAGGTATACCACCAACCAGTAATTCTATCCATTTCTTCTGTGAACTCACTGAACTCTTAGCCTCTGGTCAACGTTAACGGTTCGCGAACTGGAAAATCCTCCCATTTTTTGATCGGTAAATCAACGATTTCTATGTGGTAATGACTAACAGAACTATAGAAAATCACTATTTTTTTCATAGGTATATAAATCAACGAACTAAATGGGCCATGTTCAATAGTGAACTGTTAAATTGCCAGAGGGTATTTTGTGATGTTTCTTTTTTTCTCGAACTCCAGTAGCAT